GCCATCCTTGTTTCTGCTGGTAATTGCCCGCTCAGCTATTACGGAATCCATCCGCCTTGAACGCGCTGAGTTTGCGCTTATCATATTGCGTCGATCTTACACAATCAATCCTCATGCATAAGTAAAATATAAATCATGGCAAAGTATCAGCGAAACGTATAAACAGAAAATGAAATAGAAAATAATTACATTATATAAAATTTTTTCATGGAAATTCTTTGTGTTAATCACACATACGACTGGCGTTTGAAAAATATGATAAGGTTTAAAGACAGAATTCTCAGTACATACTGATAATTATTTTCGTGGTATTTCATGTCATGTGGAATAATTTTTCAACACAATAAACTAGTTACTACAGTATAATAATTTAAGAAAAATAACTTAATCCTTTAAAACATTTTCTATTTTTTTTTTATTCTTATTAAGTTGGACTTTCTAGTTTTATGTCAAAAGTAAGGTTAATAATGGTCAAATATAATGTCTTTATTAAATTGGAATTTTCTTTGCTTTTATATTTATAGAATATGATATCTGTTATGATATTAATAATATATTTTTGATGGTACATTTTCATTTTAACATAATAATTTTCAGTGAATTTCCACTATCATACAAATTTTGAATCGGTTTTTCCTTTCAGCAGGTTCAAAGAATATTATTTTCTACAGTTATTATTTTTAAATATCTGTGCAGCTATTCGATGATCGCTTCCCCAATAAAAACGTAGGGAGTGCGAGAATATCGTTCCCTCCTCCCCAATAATTTGAAGTAAAAAAAAAAAATATAATAAAATAAATAAGCTTCATAAATGAATAAGATAAGTAAATTAAAATCGATCATGAAAATAAGAAAACTCGACGAGCTGGCGAAGATAGAACTTAGAAGTAGATCTATTTTAATAACTATTTTATCACGACATAAATGTTAATGTTACTTAAATTGTTATTTATATTCAAAGATAATATATAATAATAATATATGTCAACATTTTCTAGGAATTTATGATTCAATTATTACACCTCATCTGCAGTGTCATTTTTCACGAGAAATTTTTATCACATTTTCAGCACCAAAGTTGAAAAAAATTTGATAAGTATAAGTATAAAAGTATAAATACATTTTATAGGGAATGGTTTTTAAGGACATTTTTACATAACTAGACTGTGAAAACCATGTATTTTTTTTACGTTTTGAGGTTGTACAAACCAAGAAATCAAACATATGTTTGTTTTTAACATTATTCGTTTTTAGCTGAAAAAGTTCTAAAAATGTTACCAATGTTTTAGAGACTGAATAAATACATTTGTTGAGATATTTTTTAATTCCATATTTTTAAGTATATCAAACACGTAAGAAAAAGATAAAAATATTATAAAATAAAATAAAACTTCCCATTTCCACAGAATTATATCATACTGTAATATGCTTAAAAAAACAAAAAACTAGCGCTAAATAGAGTCACTGATTCACTGTAGCAACAATACTGAAGTTCCTTGAATAGACTATCAGAATTACTGCAAGATTTATAAATGGCGATGTTACATAAACCGTCCATTAATTGTCTGCTTCTTGAAGGGAAAAGATAGGTTTCTTAATTGAACTATTTTACTTTTTTTTTTCAACTAATTGATTTCAGGTAATATTTAAGCAATGGATCATTAGACAATGTTGGTTTAATTTCTCCATTGTCTTCCAAATCGATTACGCCGATCACATAATCGATTCTGATTTCATCTTAGCAAAGGCCACCATGATATAGTTTTGTAGGGAAAGGAACGTCGGCAAATTGAGAGTGTCATGAATGCCAATTGAGGCTAACTTGTGGAATGGGAAAGGAGCAATTCTATTGATAGAACTCGTATCTGGGTACAATATTTCCCGAGCACTCTCCTCAACACAAACAGTGAAGGAGAAAATATTATTTCGACGTGGAAACGTTCGCCATCATAAAGGTATCCTCACGCCAAACACACATTTCCTCCAGGCTGGATGTTTAAACGGGACAAACCTAGTTTATCGTGTAAACGGAAAAATTAGTTGTTACAATTTTAGAGAAAATAAACGGGAAGAAAATATTGAGGAAAATCTTTCCAGGAAGCTATAAATTTTAAACTAATTCTGGCCGATACCTCTCCAAAATAAAATAATTTTAGAATTACTTTTTAGGTCAAGTTCATACTATTTACAACAATAACTTTTGCATAAGTGTCCATAAAATTTAAATAGGGAATAAAAGTTAATCCGATCGCCTTTCGTCAGATCTTCATGAACTCATTTATGAAGAAAGAAGGAAAACATAAAATTTTTTGTGATCATTGTACCAAATGCTCACAAATAAAAAATAATTAATGCTTTCCTCGATTCCGAAACATCAAAAAGTTTCATTTAAAAAGTGAATAAATTTTTTAGATAAATGTACATATTCTTTATTTTTATTTTATACCTCAAATCAGCGAACAATTATATTACCATCATCTTGAAAATATCGAAACAAGCCATCATAAATGAGTCTATTTAAAATTAAATTTTTTTCGAAAAAAATAAAATAAATAAACTTTATAAATTCTTAGCATGATCGCGTTAACACTTTTTCAATAAAGTAGTTATTCCAATTTATTATTAGTTTTTTAAGTAACACTGCATCAACAGAAAAAAAATCGAAAAACGTCCTATTTATTCACTAAATAAAAACTTATAGAATTTAGAAAAGGAAATTTTATTTTTAGCTATAAAATCGACTTTTTATTATCTTTTGGTGGGAAAAATTTAAAAAATGAACACTACCCCTTGAGGGTAATAAAACAGATGAAAAATAAAATAAAAAGATTACATAACAATTATCTACTGAACAGTTAATTTTTAATACAGAAATACATATAGATTGAAACTGACCTAAATATAAATATGCACCTTTCACCATAAATAAAATGTTCAAATATATGGTGCCTTCAAGGAATATATAAGTCCTTATATGTTCAAAAGTTAACTAAATTAATGCACTGTTATGTTTAAGGTCGTTTTGGTTTAACTCGTACTTCTAAGAAAAACAAGTTGCGGTAACAATAAAAAAAATGGATTCCAATATCCAAGATAAAACGTTACGATGGTAAAAGTAGCACAAATTGAATTGGAAATTGAGAAAGTTCCTGGATTTTTTTTATGTTGAGAAATGTATTAACTATGCATGAACTACCAAATAAATAAATAAAATAAAAAATTTAAGAATAAATTTTTCTAAAAAAAGAAAAAGAAATAAATTCATTTCGGGCTAACTTGTAATGCTAAGAAAAACAAATTGAGGTAACAATAAAAAAAAAACTGGCGTACTATACCAGTGACGCGGCTAGGAGAGAAGCACTGGGATCTCCTGGAGTCCTGCTTTGGCTTCCACATTTGGGGGACAAAGCTCGATTCAGAGTCCCCTGGGCCAATGTAAATATTGTGTATAGGTGTGAATGTGTATATTACTTTATCTTTTTATTTAAATATATCTTTCTTATTCTTCTTACTTGGTTATTTTTATTTTCCTTTCTTATGTACATTTTGTGTGAATGAATACTATAGCCATATTACCAATGCCCTTCAGTGTATTAATACTGTATGAATACACAATAAAACAATTAACAAATTAAATAAATTTTAAAAAATTAAAAAAGTTCCCGTATATAAAATAGTATGTTCAGATTAAAATATTAGGATATTCAAAACAATATATTCACGTTTTCAATATTACTGTTCTGAGAAAATTAAGAACCGATATCTTAATACAATAAATTTCTATTCAACAGGAAACCATAATCGATGAGGGAAACTGAGAACAGTAGAGATAAACATTTCGGGTTGGCAAGGCTAAAAATAATCTTGGAGAAAAAACTACAAACAGCAAACACAATCAGTGGAAGGAAGCAATAAATCACCGAATATTTTAATTGACTTCATTCTATATGGAGTTTTACACGATTTAGACAAAAATATAATTTATGGCTGTAAGCTCCGGATAACCCTGGGAACCCGATAAGGTCTGCAAAATTTTATCGACAGCGCTGCTCTGTCTGCTTGGAAACATGATCCCAGACTTCCTCTGAGAAGACCCTTCGTTGAATTTGATCCCACTCCATCTTCCCATCGTTCAACAAAACAACAACATATTCTGTTGACAAGCTGTTGGAAGAGGGTTCCTTATCGTAAAGGAATATCTCACACAGTAATAGTCACTTAGTAATAGGAAAACCGCAAACCACCGAACTCTTTTTGGATCAAGGTTACAAAACCAGGACAAAACTGTTGTAGCTTAACTCATACGCAAGATGTCATTTATAAATGTACACAATTAATATTGAATGTGATATGATCTCAGAGAACTTTGGTTCTACCAACGCGTCATATTGAAATAAAACGATGAATGAAGGTCGCAACCGTGTAAGGAAATAGGAATTCAGATGACTATTCAAGAATTCTTCAGACGGTTAATCAAATTATTATATCAGTGAGTCTTCATTGATCTTACACCGAGCAGCATAGCAGGCTTTATTAAGTAGGAAAAATCTCGTTTAAATATTCCTAACACGTTATGGTCTGTAAAATATACAAGGACATAAAAAAATTGTTAACATATTCTAACGAAGTGAATAAATGTTTAATAAGAAAGTGTTCGTACGATCGATGTAGCATTTAAATAGATTATAAAATTAGAGTATCCCATATGGCTACTAATAGTGCAAATGGTCGTATGTAAAAATTAAGGTCTTTTACATAAGAGCATAAAACTGATTATTTCTTTATGATTTATTAGTGTTATTTCATATTTTATTTTCGTCTACCATTTTCCTACTTAGTAGACTATTTAAAGCAGTTGCAGACTACAAAATGTTACCTTTAGCACAAAGAGAACCAACATGCAAAGTTTAACATACGACCTTTTGCACTGTAGCGATATTTAAATCAATTTAAGCTAGGAAATCTAAAAAACACATGTAAAAATATAACACCTGCGATGATTTTATTTATTTTTAATAAAATTATAATAATAAGACTACAAATAAGGTGTTCGATGGAATAATGTTGATTTTTTAAAAATAATTCGATAAAAACTTGACCTAAATAACGCTACGGAAACCGAACAATAATGCAAAGATTCAAAGTCTACAAAGATGTCGAAAACGATATTACCGACGGAAAGCCCTTACAGAGATACAGAAAAAGGCAGGCCTTAGGAGAAATAAAAAACACGATCATTACAAGAAGTAAATATTCAGAAATAAATGAAGGATTCAAAAGGATACGGATAGAAGACGAAGTGAAGCAGGAATCTCGGAGGACCACCTTGAGGAAAAAGGCAACTGGCAAGAGAGCAGAAATCGAAGATGAAACAAACAAGTCACCTCTAATCAGAAGAAGACGAAGGCTTTCCAGTCTTTTTAGAGTCAGCGAATACGCTAACGACATCTACAAGTATCTTCAAAGGATAGAAGACAAGTATCCAATAATGAACAGTGAAAAGATGGAGAATATGGTCGGAGAGGACACGCGGTTCGCCCTGGTGGACTGCCTTGTCGAGATCAACGAGCATTTTAAATTCGTTCACGAAACTCTGCAATTATCCGTGTCAATAATTGATAGGTGCGTTCAAGAACAGGCCTCTCTGACTAGGAAGGGTTTGGAATTGATAGCTCTAGCTGCAGTCTTCATTGCTTCGAAATATGAAGAACTGGTACCCATTGAAATATCGGATTTGCTGCAAGTATGTGGTAGTCTGTCATCAACTGAAGAAGTACTGCAAACGGAAATGAAAATAGTGACGGAAGTGCAGTGCAGCTTAGGTAGACCTGTCCCTGCTCACTTCGTTAGGAGGTATTGCAAAGTAGCACAGGCGAACAGCGTACTACAGTCCTGTGCGTTTTACCTCACCGACGTAGCCCTCATGTCGTATAAGTTATGTTACTTCAAACCTTCAATCATCGCAGCTACCTCACTATTCATCGCTCTTTGTGTTTCGAACGGAGCAGTCGATCAGAGACTCTGGAATCCAACTTTGATCAAGTACTCAACTTACGAAATAGAAGACTTAGAAGATTGTGCAAAGGTGCTTGCCAAGTGTCTGAAGAGGACGAAGTCATCGAGTTTCCGGGCCATAGAGAAGAAGTATTCAAAACCGATGTTTTTCGATGTCCCTCATAATCCCAATTTGCAAACTGTCCTTGAGGCTCTTGCAATGTAATATTTAACGTAGGATCTTAGCTGACTATAGATGGCCGTAGCAAGTAGCATTAAAGGAAGAAGAGTAACCCTTTATTACCATTTATGGTAGGAAATGCATAGGAAATAGGTAGTAAATAAAGAGTAGAATATAGAATACAAAGATTTTACATAAAGCTTTTATTTTTGTTTACCAAAAGAAAGATTTATTTATTTTTTCCAGTCTCTGGTTTAACGATATGAATGATATTCATGTCCTTCGGTATATCCGTTTATGACAGACGAATCCATAGAATAGCACGTATTCTATTTTGCTCAATCCTTTCGTTTTTCATTAAAAAAAATATTTGTACTTTTTATAGGAACATTTTAGATTGTCAGTTATGTAAAAAGATAAAAGTCCGCATTATCCATCCAATTTCCTCAATGCATACCCTACAAATTATATCGACAAAATTCAAATTACTACAGTACTATACAATCTTGGATTTACTTTTGAAAAAAGAATGACATTGGGCCGCATGTCAAAAATGAAACGGAAAACTCTTAACGTTGACGTTCAAACGACTTGAACTATTTCAGCCACTGTTTTCCAAATCTTTAAAACTGAAACTGAATGCATATAAATCATAACTAAAACTCACATGAGCATACTCCTTACATATATTAACGTATCACCAAAAGACTCACTACAACGACTCCAAACCTTTCAAGGAAAATTGTCACAACTCATAACGAAAGGTCTTTGTTACTTTACTAACAAAACTGTACATGATGACTCTTTACCAACTGCTTTATAAAACTTTAAACCAACCAACGGTTTAATAAGAAACTTAGTTGGCATACTCTTCAGTATGAGAAGGAAACTAAAAAGAGCTGGATGAATGATCATCTTCCTTAAACAACGCAAGTATTTGAATCAATCCAGGTAAATGATGGTGCAGTGTACGTACTGTCCCTAAGCGTGATATGTCATTATTTTCTGAAATAGTCAGCTCACTTGCTAATTGCCATCAGACAACAGTTGACAGTTACAAATTAAAGTTATAAGACAAAATAAAGTTTGTTTAGTCTACAATGAATCCTCATATTAGGCAATCACAAAAAAAAAAAAAATACATATGGAAGCATATAATTAATTTTTTTATTTACAGTCCCCTCGATAATTTTATACGATATGGGCAGTGGCTACCTGAGAAGGTTATTGTACACAGCCGGGAATTAGTTAAGTCAGAGGCGTTATAAGAAGTTAAGATTAAGTCGTGATGGGTTGCAGGTCTGCCATATAATTACGGGTCGGCCATTGCTGAGAAACCATTAACAACCAGAATTTATAAGCTCGACTATAATTTCTTGATTTACTATTATTATTATTTTTTTTTTAATAGTTCTGATATTATAACTATATACATAATTCATTTTTATAACAGAAGTAAGACGCTGCTTTTAATTGAAGTTGTTAGCGCTCTTACAGTAACGATTCGAAGAATAATTTATTGTTCTCTATATATGAAATGATTGAATTTTCTTCCGTCGTAGGATATTTTTTCCTTTATGGACACTTGGTAAGATTTTTTTCCTCATAGTACCGGCTTTTATGATTTACAATGAACCTCGATTAACCGGAGTAATAACGGAGACAGAGTCAGTAGCGGATCCAGGATTTAATTTGGGGGGGGGGCTTCAGCCCGAAGGATTTTTTTTTTCATATGTATAACGATAATTAATTTGAAAAAAAAAAGAAACTAACTACCCATATGACATGGTGTCTTAGTGATTATTGAAGTCCTATTAAATGTAATTACATGAACAATAACACTTTGAGAGATAGTTTTTAATATTTTTTTCTATAAAATATGGTTACATTTTACCATTTTGGGGGGAGGGGGCTTCATCCCGAAAGCCCCCGCCCCTCGTAAATCCGCCTGTGGACGAAGTTGTATGTATAATATTTTTCTTTTACAAATTCATCGATGTACATATACAAAAAAATAATATATATGTTTTTTATTACAACAAATTATTACATAATATAATTTTATTTTTCATTAGTTCAATATTTTAGTAAGTTTCGTCATTTTATTCCTAAACTCTCATGTTATTTGTTGATAAAATTTTATATCATCAACATTCTTATGGTCCAAAATTATAGTTGAATTTTGGGACTTTCTATTGTCTTTGAATGTGTTACATATTCTTTCAAGTTAGAAGTAGGAATCTTTTTAAAAACCTAAAATTTGGGAAGTTTTTAAATATTTCTCCGAAATTATGAAGATTTATTTACTCCTTTATCCTGTAGCTAAATTTTCAACAGTAAAAGTGTGAAAGAGGAAAAATGCTACAGATCCTAAAAGTAGTACTTTCTTTTAAAATATAAAATTTCAGTATTTTTCACACACAAGGCGTTTTCACTTTTTAAAAAAGTTTTTATGTATTTATTTATCTAAATATTTCACCTTTAATTTTTTAGAATTGGTACATTATATATGCGGCTCTAAATTTCATAATGTGATTAATTGTAATTATTCATACATTTATGGTAAATATTCATCCCAAATTGTTGGTTATTCCATTTTTATTTTGTTTCTATTGATTTGTTTATATTAATTTCTCTATTTTATTTATTTTTCTTCATTTATTAATAAATTATTTTTCATTTATACATTCTTTTTTCTTCATATAAACTATTATTCTACTCCAATGTTTATATGTATAATAAAAAAGTGTTTTTATGTTATGGCGTAAGATGAGCGCTCAGAAATACATGCACAAGTGATGAAAGGGAAATAGACGTGGTGATGTGTAAATATAAATATTATAGAACAATACAATAGAATAAATATTATTGAAGGTCACAGCACATTTGAAAAAAGAAAGTTTGCGTTGAAATCTTCTTTTTAATTTTAAGGATTAATCTCCACCTATAGTTTCAACACAACAGCCTGTTACATAGTTAAAAATATCTTACCAATTTTTTCTTTAATGTTTTGATCATTTATATATCATTGAATAAATGAAAATGCTAACAACGATATTGAAAAGTATCTAAGTTTTTATTATTAGTTTTTATAACCTGACATTTAAAGTTATATTAAAAAATAACTTAATAATTATTTAATATAAATAAATTAATATTTATTTAATATAAATAAATTAATATTTATTTAATATAAATGAATTAATATTTATTTAATATAAATAAATTAAATATTGTTCTGATATAAATAAATTAAATATTGTTCTGATATCCATACAAAATATATTAATAAAATAAACGTTGACCTGGTTGGTGGACGAGGCAAAGGGTGATTTAGAATCCCTCTAGCCTAGACCTAGCCATTATTTATTACTATTGCTAGTTATTTCTGTGAGTGGTTTTCCGCTGACCTTCTAACATCAGCCTAAACAGAGGATCTCCTTTGAATAACATTTCGGTTGACCACTTCTTAGGAAATAGTATGCTCCGGCCTATTTTAAGCATTTAAATCACTTAACTATCCATAGGCCAATACAAATTGGAACGTGGTCTTGTCACTGACACCTAAATTATATTACGCAATGGATATAACCGTACGAAATGAAAACAAAATCTAACGCAATATTATACAAAAAGTTGCAATGGACATATTTCATGTTATATTCTCTCAGTCCTGTTTCCTTGTTTTATGTTTTAAAGCATTTATTAATAAAAATGATAAAACAGCCTCAACTACAGCTAAGCTTCATCAGTTTGAGAACAGAGTCAGATCAACTCCACAAGACTTTTGAACTACCAACTATAAAATACTTCATAACACGCAGCACGTCAAATTTTTTTATAGCTCTTACAAAAATGCTCAGACTTGACTAGACTGAGTTCAGACTGACTAACTGGACTGGCACAAGAAGTGAGCCCCATTACTAGACTCAGCACTTAATAATTTTTAAAACCCTTAAGCTCCTCATAACTCCATTAAAATGAATACGATCAATGCAGTACAAGGGATTCCATCCCATAAATAATCATGTGAAAATCCTAACTCCCATTTTTGGGGATAAGAAAGAAAAAAAATAATAGGACATATTTATTGGTGCACGACGTATTTTAATAAACAAGCCATTATTTCTAAAACGCAGTAAGTCATATTAATCTCTTAAGAGTATGTAGAAGAAAAACATAACTGCTGAAATGTTTTGATAAAAATGTATCCTTTTTTTCCCCAAGTTTCCTCATACTACGATTTGGAAGTTGATAGTTATGTGTGTTTCACTTAATATTAAATCTAAATTAAACTATTGAAACCAAAGACAGATTTTTTTTTTTTTTTTTGACTTCGTGATGTTAACTCATTGGTTGAGCTACAGAGGGAGGAAGGACTTCCGGTCTGTAGCCATCCTGCCCAAAAATGTTAAAATATAACCATATCTTGAAAAAATTATCTATATAAGTATTATTATTCTTGTAATTAGATTTAATAGGACTTCAAGAATCATTTAAACACCATTTCAAATAGGTAGGTTATTTCTTTTTCTTGTAACGTTATAATCATAAAATATATATTTTTTTTAAAGTTTCGAGATGAGACTCATCCAAAATTAAATCTTGGATTCGCTAGTACTCCTAAAGGCAATAAAATGCTAACAAATTTAAAATATAACACAAAAAGGTTTCTATTCTTTGTGATAGTCGAAACAAACTTCACAGAATGAAAACTATTAATTCTTATGTTTTCACCATTTTTTTTTCGAAAAGAATTGGGCATAGGCACAATACATTTTTTTCAGAATAAAGATTTGGTTTATAACAAAGATTTGATGTCTCTTTAGTCATAACTGAACTTTCATTATGTTATCTTTAAACTTGAATATTAATATTACGTTAATGGAAGGTAACATAACAACGACTTTACACACTTAATCTTAATTGGATACCTTAAACTATAGGTAAACTGTAATCCTTAAAAAAAAAGTTCGGATTAAAATGTTTCAGGGCTAATTAAAAATATTACACCCGCTAGACCATAAGATTAATAAATTAGACTAATTAGTCTAAAAAGATTAATAAATACGGTTATTTCAAATAAATAAATATAGTTTAAATTGCTGATTAGGAATGAAAAGTTTGCTTACTCTGGATCTGAGTCTAATGATCTCACGAACTGGATCTATCAAGTATAGACAAGAAGAAGCAACAGTAGGCCGAAGATAAACATTGGCCGCCTCATCATCATCAACAAGATAAGGAGCACTCTGATCCATGCATCCATCTCAAAGCCACTCTGTCAGCACACAGAGCTTCTATTCAGCATTATACACATCACAGCTCCATCCCTATCTCTGATATCTATATTCATCCTATACATCCTTTGATACGCACACTGCTTAGCGGTAGACGAAGATGGATTAAGTAAGTAAGTACATGCTTTCATGGAACAACATATCAGAAGATATCAATGAAACCATCTTATTCATTTTTTTGAACAACGAAATGCACAAAGTGTACTAATAAGGATTTAAGAAACGATAATCGAATTGCGAATGGTATATATGATATAATAGACATTACGATATGCATCAAAGACCATGAAAGAATTCATACGAATCTTTAATACTTGAGGATACAACCGAAATTCCTCCTGGTAAAATTGTGCTGGATCCTTGGATTACTTCCCTGACCTATGAAAAGATTCAAGACGTTTCCAGAGACACAAGATGAGATCAGTTACGACCCGGAGAGATGTTATAAAATAGCCTGGAATAAAGTGGCAGGTGGAGGGCTATTATATTCCTAGGTTGCTGCCGAGCGAGGGGTTTAACTTCCGCGACTATTG